AGGGAAAGGAGCTGGCTCCCTTCGCCCCCCAGCCGCCCCAACTTCCCCTTAGAGAGGCAATGAGCGAGCCGGGCTCCCACAGACTGAGGTGAGCGCCACGCGCTGCGCTCGTTAACTTCCCACCCAGCGAGCGACGCGCGCGCACACACAGACACCTCTTCATTTCTGTTAAGGCCTCGTTGGCCAGGGCGCTGCAGGGGCCGGGTTCAGGCGGATGCCCCATGGGATGGGCACTGGCGTTTCCTGGACAGCCTCACCTGGGGTTTTTCACGGGTAAGCTGGAACTAGGCATTCCCCTGCCCATATCTCCAGGGCACGCTGTAGGTGCGTGCGACGCGCGCGCACACACAGACACCTCTTCATTTCTGTTAAGGCCTCGTTGGCCAGGGCGCTGCAGGGGCCGGGTTCAGGCGGATGCCCCATGGGATGGGCACTGGCGTTTCCTGGACAGCCTCACCTGGGGTTTTTCACGGGTAAGCTGGAACTAGGCATTCCCCTGCCCATATCTCCAGGGCACGCTGTAGGTGCGTGTATGTGTGCGCATTGATAAAATCAGAAAAAGCATTTGGTGGTTGGCTGGCTGGTCCATCAGGCAGTAATCAACTGAACAAACTGCATCAGATCCTGCCCCCCAGGTACCCGCGTGTCCCTGCAAAGTAGAGCTCCTCAAACTTTGTTGGCAGTAAACTAGTAAATAAGTTGAGCCTTATTCTTGAATTACCCCACAACCAGGACCTGTTTTCCAACAAATCTGTTCATTATTCACACTTGTTCACACTGATTGTTTGCACAAGCAACTGTAGCCTGTGATTGATTCACCAAATTGTGTATTTGCTCTGTAGTGATAATTATTTGCATGTCTCATTGATCACTTAACTCAAGAGATACTGTTCCTGCTCTCAAATGAATTATTTTTGTATATAAAGAAAAGTCCCCATTCACAACTTATCTATGAACATTCATGATTAAACAAATATTATACAAATAACAAAAAGTATTACAAAGTGGTTCAGTTTCGGTTACAAATACACTAGTGAATATTTGTGCATTTTAGTGTTCATATTTCTGTCAGTAAATACTTGCTCAGGTAAATGTTCATGAAGAAGTGCAGGGAGTCATGAATATAAATTAAGTGAATCAGAATTTTAATTACAAACTCCACATACACTTACTTTCACAGTTCTATTCTGAAATTCTTCCACTAACATCAGTCATGTTATTCTGGATTTACATCACTTCATAAAAGACACAATTGGCTTTAACATTTCTTTGAATGATTTAGATGAATATATACAATGAATGGGTTTATTACAGGTATTCTTAAATTATGTGAACAGTTTGATTAGGGTAAATGATTTCCTTCCCAATTCATACTTTTTCTTTTGCGTCTTCTGCTGAAATGTATTACTAATGAGTGTTTTCCTCTACTTAAAGTGAGCATGTCATCCCATATGCATAGTACCATTGGCTGGTACCCTTGAGATGTAGAGTCTTTGTGTAATATCATCCCTAGTATTTTAAGTGATCATATACTATTTTTCAGGCTGTAACATAAGTTATGTTTCAAAGGCAAAAGCCAACTGGAATGCTCAGTATCTTTTAACTCAAACTGTGCTATACATTTAAGCTGTATCTAGGATATTTTCTTATTGTTTAGTAAAATAAAATTTTTAGCACAGTATGAGCCAGACACATAATTCTGAGTAAGAAGCAATTATTAAGTATCAATGGGCAAATTACTCATGGACGTAATGTACACTCTCATACTATATAACAATGAGTGCTCGGGGAGAGAAGGGGGAAGCACTACTGTGAGTATCAATTCAACGTGGATTGCTTAGAAACCAGATTGTTCAACCCAAGACTGAGATTCCTCCTCTATAAGGCACACCAAACCAATCAAAAAGAGAACTTCTGTTTCATTACACTGATTAGTTGACTCAAGCTCCTGTAGCTCAAGCTGTGGGACTATAAAAATGCAATGCAGACATCTTGCAAGGGAGAAGAGTCCTGAAACCATGGCTCCAGACCAAGCCTGAAAGTCTACACTGCAATTTTGCAACCCTGCACTCCAAACTCAGTAAGCTTCAGTTAGCAGAAACAAGCCAACCAATGGTGCTTTATTGCAGCGTAGATATACCGAGAGTATCTGATCTCAGATTCAACTTGGAACAGATTGTTATTCAGAAGAAGTAGCACATATTGGAGGCAATTGCTCAATGTGAACTGGGCAACTAAAGGTTGGATTGTTATGCATAAAGAGTTTGAAACAGGCATTTAAGGGTAGCAGGAAATGTGGTGTGCTCAAATTCTTGCAATGAGCCATAAAACCAGTATTCCTGTTAAGTCCATGGTATTTGGTGTCCTGTAGAGTCATGAAATTAAGTTTTCATACACATTTTCTGAAGGTGTTGTGCAGGTTTTCTTTGAGGACAAGTACTGAAAAATCAGGTATGGAGTGATTGCTTAGTGAAAAGTGATCACCCATTAGTGGTATAGTGTTTTTATTTTGGGGGATTTTTCTATGCAATTTCATGCAAAAACACAGTGATTGGTTTCACCCATAGAATTGTTTTAGGGGCATTTGATACACTCAATAGGTATGTCTAGATTACATGCCTCTGCCAACAGGCATGTAAAATAGGCTACCCAACATAGTCAATGAAGCAGGGATTTAAATATCCCTGGCTTCATTAAAATAAAAATGGCCACCGCACTGTGCCAGCTCAGCTGATCGTCGGCACAGCGCAACAGTCAAGACGTGGATTGATCGACAGGGAACGCTTTTGTTGACTGCTCCCTTATACCTCGTGAAATGAGGTTTACAAGAGCAGTCGACAAAGGCTTCAGGAAGAATTTGTTGAAAAAAAAATTCACCACAAAAACAGTGATATACCTGAGATATATTAATCATTCTCTAAACAGAAGTCCCTTGGATTTCCATTGCAACCTCAACAACCACACTCATCCAATATAGTCTCTTTAGAATACGCCTATACTAGCAGCAACTATGAAGAAACATTAGGAAGAAAACTAGGTTTGTTGAGGCTGGAGAAAATAAGATTGAAGGGGCCATGATAATCTACAAATGAGTAAAAGATTGTCATAAACAGGACATGATAACAATCTACAAATGAGTAAAAGATTGTCATAAACAGGAGGGTTGTAAATTGTTCTCCTTAACAACTGAAGACAGGAAAAGATGTAATGGACTTAAATTGCAGTAAGGGAGATTTAGGTTACACATTAAGAAAAACTTCCTAACTGTAACAGTGATTAAACATTGGAACAGATTATCTAGGGAAGGTGAAAAATCTCCATTATTGGAAGTTTATAAAAACAGGTTAGACAAAAACCTGATAGGAACAGTCTAGACAGTCTACTTAGGCAGTCTACTTAGTTCTGCTCCAGTACAGGGGATTAGATTAAATGACCTACTGAGGTCCTTTCCAGTCCTACATTTCTATGATTCTATCGTGCTAAAATGAGACATCACACACAGTAGATAATTCACATTTTTATAGTAGCAACCACTTCCTTTTTTACATACTATGATCAGTAATAAAATGGTTAACAATTAAATCATCATCATCATAAAGGAATGCTCATTCAATCTTAAAGATGATAGGGGCAGTTTTCACCTCTCCCACTCATTGTTTCTAACTATCTGTGATCAGTTTATGCTTTGTTTCAGAGGGATAACTGTGTTAGTTTGTTTCAGCAGAAACAACAAAGTGTCCAGTGGCACTTTAAAAATTAACATCAATGAGGGCATAAGCTTTCATGCTGAAGAGAAAAGGGGGAAAAAGGAAGGGATACAGAGATGGGAGTGTGACAGCACTGATGTCACACTCCCACCTCTGTAACCCTTTCTTTCCCCCCCCCCCTTTTCTTCTCAGCATCTGAGGAAGTGAGTTCTAACTCAGGAAATCTAATGCCCTAATACACCAATAAACCAGTTTTTGTTTGTTTCAGAGTTACTTGCTTGTAATCCTTTCTATCTTACTGTAAAATCGCAGAACTGGAAGGAACCTGGAAAAGTTATCAAGTCCAGTCTCCTGCACTCACGGAAGGAAGTCATCAAGCCCAGTCTCCTGCACTCACGGAAGGAGCAAGCACCATCTAGACCATCCCTTCCAGCTGTTAAGGATATCAGCATGCAGTTGACTACACAATTAACCCACAAGCCTGGTCTTACTAGTTAATCCTATCAACTACACACATTTTCTCCCCTCCTCTTGATATCTCTGCATCAGAAGCAGCAAGGGAAGGTGGAGGCAGGAGTTGGTGCTGTGGGGAGCCGGCTTTTAAGCTGGCTCCCCATGAGCACTGGATCCCGCAGAACCTCCTGCCTGTCCCAACACCCATGCTGCTGCCTCTAATAGAGAGGCAGCAGCACAAAGAGTGGGGGGGGGGCACAAAGTCACCTAACACCACTTTGCTGCCTCTCACAGAGGTAATGGGGGTGGGCAGGAGACGGGCAGGGGCCAGTGCTTCCTAATTGTAGTACTTTGCATTTGTCTTTATTGAATGTCATCCTTTTTATCTCAGCCCATTCCTTCAGTTTGTCCACATTATTTTGAATGAGAATCCTGTCTGCCAAGCACTTGCAACACCTCCCAGCTTGGTACCATCCAAAGACTTTATGGGTGTACTCCCAATGCCATTATCTAAATCATTAATGAAGATATTGAAAGAACTGAGTCTAGAACTGATCCTTGCAGAACCCCATTCATTATACCCTTCCAATTTGACTGAAT